CGACTTATATTGAATTTTGTAACTAGCTCATCAAGATTGTAACTTGCTTAGCTAAATGAATTGTGGGGTTCAGTCCCTGAGCGCATTATGTGCCTCTGTAACCCTTTCCACTACCGCCCACAAGATGGGTATAGGGTGCATAATAAATTAACTAAACTAACTAACTGGTGTAAAACACTTTAGAGCAGATGGTGCAGATCTTGTCATAGTGTCCACGAGATTTATGTTCACACTGTGAACATAAAATGTATATTCTTCAACCTCTGATTAGGTTAGGTGGGGATGGATAGCATAGCTATTTTGAATAATAACATTTGACAGACTACATATGCAAGTACCGAGCCAAAGACTGCATTGGTTATCTGGTGACGTCACACCCAGTTGGAAAAGTCAGGTTGCTGTGGTGCCTTAACACTTATTTGTTAATGGGAGCTAATACCCTATCCCTATACTGAGGTCGCTTTTTGCGTCGTCGCTAAGCAACAACAAGTCTGTAGAAATGTATTTTATTTTCGTTTTATAATAGGTTAGGTCAGGTTGATTTGATAGGTTTTATGAACTGAATAACAGAAAATATGAGCAATGAGCAAAAAAAAAACGAGCATCAGAGTATCGCCTGTGAAGAAACACAGAATACGGTTGAGGTATTGAGAGCGATTAAGATATTGTATTAATGTGTGAACCTCCTAGGAACCGCATGTAGAACGCCGGATAAAAGCTTTGCACTCATTGGTGCATCGTATTTTTTGTGAGCATACGTGTGCAGACAGGAGATTAAGCTGCCATTGTTGTGTTGTCAGATTGTAACACCATTATAAAGTAACTCTTTCATTTTAATCCTTTAAGAATGTTTGGGATTTTAGTTATAATTTCGGAATGTATATATTATTATGTTAGTGTGATGTGTGAAAGTATGTGTATGTTTGATGGGAATTATTTCAGTCTGTAGTGTGTTCTGTAATTATGTAAAGAATCATAATTCAGATGTGGTAACTGAGGGCAAGTAGGGACCCGTCCGGTGAGGCCCCTCACGTCGCCTCAAGGCTCAAGCAGTCAGTAGCAAACAGTGGGGCCTGGTGTCAACATGTCTTGACAGTTAAGTAGTGTATGATTGTATTCTAGTTTAAGTGTGTGCAATCAGTCTGGCAGACCATTAGATATCAAATATATATGTCTGGGTTTGTATTATAAAAATAAACCATAGTTGATTTATTATAAATATAATTTTATGTTTTTTTTTTATGATTCCCCCTCTCAAACGACTGGTACTTCACTCTACATCATAGGGTTTTGGGTGGATCACACCCTTACTTTTAATTGAAGTGTGATAGACCGGGGAGATACAGATCAGACATTTTATCAAACCCTGTGTCAGGCACGAGCGTGTTTCCTAGAGGCGGGGTATTACAACACCACCACCAACTGCAGTAATCCATGACAACACTAAATGCAGTAGTCCATGACAGCACCCACTGCAGTAATCCATGACAACGCTCACTGCAGTAGTCCATGACAACGCTCACTGCAGGAATCCATGATAACACCAACTGCAGTAATCCATGGCAACACTCACTGCGGTAACCCATGGCAACACCCACTGCTCTATCCCATGACATCACCCACTGCAGTAATCCATGACGACACCCACTGTAGTAATCCATAACAACACCCACTGCAGTAATCCATGGCTACACTTACTGCAGTAACCCATGACAACACCCACTGCTGTAACCCATGGCAACATCCACTGCAGTAATCCACAACACCCACTGCAGTAACCCATTGCAACGCCCATCTCAGTAACCCATGGCATCACCCACTGCAGTAACTCATGGCAACACCCACTGCATTAACCCATAGCATCACTCAACACAGTATATGTTTGTCCGGCTGTCAATCATCTAGTATGTCTACTGGTGGGCGTCAAATGTCAGTCACACGTGGCGTGCCATCAAGAGGACAACACGGGTGACAGCTCGCACTGAACCTCTGATGAAACGAATTAACAGCCTCACATTCCTGACCAACCAATACTTGAAATGGTGCAGATTTTGTATTGTTCAGCATATATGTCTCTTTTTCTGTTAGTTCTTTCTTAAATTTGTGTGTATCTGTGTGTCTGTCTGTCATATATATATATATATATATATATATATATATATATATATATATATATATATATATATATATATATATATATATATATATATATATATATATATATATATATATATATATATGTCGTACCTAGTAGCCAGAACTCACTTTTTGGCCAACTATTCAAGGCCCGATTTGCCTAATAAGCCAAGTTTTCCTGAATTAATATATTTTTTCTTATTTCTTTCTTATGAAATGATAAAGCTTCCCATTTCATTATGTATGAGGTCAATTTTTTTTTATTGGAGTTAAAATTTACGTAGATATATGACCGAACCTAACCAACCCTACCTAACCTAACCTAACCTATCTTTATAGGTTAGGTTTGGTTAGGTAGCCGAAAAAGTTAGGTTAGGTTAGGTTAGGTAGGTTAGGTAGTCGAAAAACAATTAATTCATGAAAACTTGGCTAATTAGGCAAATCGGGCCTTGCATAGTAGGCTGAGAAGTGCGTTCTGGCTACTAGGTACGACATATATATATATATATATATATATATATATATATATATATATATATATATATATATATATATATATATATATATATATATATATATATATATATATATATATATATATATATATATATATATATATATATATATATATATATATATATATATATATAATATATATATATATATATATATATATATATATATATATATATATATATATATATATATATATGCAAACAAGCCTGAATGGTCCCCAGGACTATATGCGACTGAAAACTCACACCCCAGAAGTGACTCGAACCCATACTGCCAGGAGCAACGCAACTGGTATGTACAGGGACGCCTTAATCCGCTTGACCATCACGACCGGACCATAAGGAAGTGATAGCCGAGGCTATTTGAACCACTCCCCCGCCGGCACTCGGATGGTAATCTTGGGCATAGCATTTTATCAAATCACCTTATTCTTTTGGGCAACACGTGAGGAACACAAATGCAAACAAGCCTGAATGGTCCCCAGGACTATATGCGACTGAAAACTCAATCAAGCGGATTAAGGCGTCCCTGTACATACCAGTTGCGTTGCTCCTGGCAGTATGGGTTCGAGTCACTTCTGGGGTGTGAGTTTTCAGTCGCATATAGTCCTGGGGACCATTCAGGCTTGTTTGCATTTGTGTTCCTCACGTGTTGCCCCAAAGAATGAGGTGATTTGATAAAATGTTATGCCCAAGATTACCATCCGAGTGCCGGCGGGGGAGTGGTTCAAATAGCCTCGGCTATCACTTCCTTGGTCCGGTCGTGATTGTCAAGCGGATTAAGGCGTCCCTGTACATACCAGTTGCGTTGCTCCTGGAGTATGGGTTCGAGTCACTTTTGGGGTGTGAGTTTTCAGTCATATATATATATATATATATATATATATATATATATATATATATATATATATATATATATATATATATATATATACTATCTCTCTCTCTCTCGCTCTTCTTTCCTCTATCTCCTTAAAATGTTTCTGTCTCGTCTGTCTCGTATTTGCTTGCAAGAGAGCGGCTCGACTTTTTATGGTTGCATGTTTTATTTAAAGATTTCAATTTTTTAACATATTTTTGACCTGACAGATATTGATCTGAAAGATATTGTGGTGCAAGGTGACGATCTGACAATTGTTGACTTGATAAGTATTGAACTGATAAGCATTGACAAAACAGGTATTGACTTAAAATGTATTGAGGTGATATGTATTTACTTGACAGGTATTGGCTGACATATATTTACATATATTTGATAGGTACTGAGCTGACAAGTAATTCACCAATTTCAGCCTAAATAAGCTGTATTATGGAGATAATTGGCATTAAATTGGAGGAAATAATACAATTGGTACTTTGGAATGTCAAAATTGTACCAAGATTCACATAAAGTTTACAGTTATAAAGCAGTTTAGTGTGATTATAACTTATGTGTGTTCAGAGAGTTGGTAACATGGTGTCTGAGATCACTGTCACTTAAGAGAAGTTGAATTTATTGTATTATTATATACTTCATCTTCAAGTATAGTTGAAGAGTATTTCTTTTATAATGGTTACAACACAGTATAAGTCGTAGATTTGGGGAGAGTTTTGATTTAATTTTAACAAACATCTTGGAAGCTTTTATTGAGTTCTTCGAACACTTCCTTATCGTTCTTTGTGATAAGGAATTCTCCTCCTTTGCGTTGACTGACCACTTTTTCATTTACTGACTTCTTTAAAATGTGGCTATATAGAAGTTTAGGCTGATTCTTGGCCTTGGAGGCTGCGCCATTCTTATACAACTTTCAGAATTCCTGTGTATTTATTCCTCTCTCATGTATATTTTGTAGTTCGCCTGTGTTCTGTGCTCCCTGAAAATATTCCAAGCTTATTTGTTTCTCCATTTTACCTCTAAGTGTTTTTTATTGAACCATTTGCAATTTTATTCTTGGTCTCTTCTCTTAAAAATCACTGATCTTCTTACCTCGTCTTTATGGAAAGCAAGTTTCCCACTCCTCTCTGCTTTTCATTTTACCACAGTTTTCATAACAACTACACAGTCAAAGTTTAGTACACAATGGTCCTGTAGATGCTATGATGCTTTATTTCTCACTACATCTGCCTCTATAAAGGCTGCATCCCGGACCCCCATTGTCATGCTCCCCCTCCTCATGCGGGGAGGTCTGTAATTCCTCAGGTCTGTAATTCTTTCCTTAAACCACCAAGTTAGAGAGAGGTGCAAGTCCTGACATTTCCTAATCCTGAAGGGTACGCGTTGGTGCCTATGAGGACGCATCAGACTAATGCAAATAAATGAAGACGAGTCACGAGTCACTGCATTGTCCGTAGAGCCAAAGTGCGAACATAATGATAATCTCTCAGCCCAACCTGTTACCACCTGGGGAGTGTACTCCACCCAACCTGTTACCACCTGGGGAGTGTACTCCACCCAACCTGTTACCACCTGGGGAGTGTACTCCACCCAACCTGTTACCACCTGGGGAGTGTACTCCACCCAACCTGTTACCACCTGGGGAGTGTACACCACCCAACCCGTTACCACCTGGGGAGTGTGCTCCACCCAACCCGTTACCACCTGGGGAGTGTACTCCACCCAACCTGTTACCACCTGGGGAGTGTACTCCACCCAACCTGTTACCACCTGGGGAGTGTACTCCACCCAACCTGTTACCACCTGGGGAGTGTACTCCACCCAACCCGTTACCACCTGGGGAGTGTACGCAACCCAACCCGTTACCACCTGGGGAGTGTACTCCACCCAACCTGTTACCACCTGGGGAGTGTACTCCACCCAACCTGTTACCACCTGGGGAGTGTACTCCACCCAACCTGTTACCACCTGGGGAGTATACTCCGCCCAACCTGTTACCACCTGGGGAGTGTACTCCACCCAACCTGTTATCACCTGGGGAGTGTACTCCACCCAACCTGTTACCACCTGGGGAGTGTACTCCACCCAACCCGTTACCACCTGGGGAGTGTGCTCCACCCAACCCGTTACCACCTGGGGAGTGTACTCCACCCAACCCGTTACCACCTGGGGAGTGTGCTCCACCCAACCCGTTACCACCTGGGGAGTGTACTCCACCCAACCTGTTACCACCTGGGGAGTGTACTCCACCCAACCTGTTACCACCTGGGGAAAGTACTCCACCCAACCCGTTACCACCTGGGGAGTGTACTCCACCCAACCTGTTACCACCTGGGGAGTGTGCTCCACCCAACCCATTACCACCTGGGGAGTGTACTCCACCCAACCCGTTACCACCTGGGGAGTGTACTCCACCCAACCTGTTACCACCTGGGGAGTGTACTCCACCCAACCCGTTACCACCTGGGGAGTGTGCTCCACCCAACCCGTTACCACATGGGGAGTGTACTCCACCCAACCTGTTACCACCTGGGGAGTGTACTCCACCCAACCTGTTACCACCTGGGGAGTGTACTCCACCCAACCCGTTACCACCTGGGGAGTGTGCTCCACCCAACCCGTTACCACCTGGGGAGTGTACTCCACCCAACCTGTTACCACCTGGGGAGTGTACTCCACCCAACCCGTTACCACCTGGGGAGTGTACTCCACCCAACCCGTTACCACCTGGGGAGTGTGCTCCACCCAACCCGTTACCACCTGGGGCGTGTACTCCACCCAACCTGTTACCACCTGGGGAGTGTACTCCACCCAACCCGTTACCACCTGGGGAGTGTACTCCACCCAACCCGTTACCACCTGGGGAGTGTGCTCCACCCAACCCGTTACCACCTGGGGAGTGTACTCCACCCAACCTGTTACCACCTGGGGAGTGTACTCCACCCAACCTGTTACCACCTGGGGAGTGTACTCCACCCAACCTGTTACCACCTGGGGAGTGTACTCCACCCAACCTGTTACCACCTGGGGAGTGTACTCCACCCAACCTGTTACCACCTGGGGAGTGTACTCCACCCAACCCGTTACCACCTGGGGAGTGTGCTCCACCCAACCCGTTACCACCTGGGGAGTGTACTCCACCCAACCTGTTACCACCTGGGGAGTGTACTCCACCCAACCTGTTACCACCTGGGGAGTGTACTCCACCCAACCCGTTACCACCTGGGGAGTGTGCTCCACCCAACCCGTTACCACCTGGGGAGTGTACTCCACCCAACCTGTTACCACCTGGGGAGTGTACTCCACCCAACCCGTTACCACCTGGGGAGTGTACTCCACCCAACCCGTTACCACCTGGGGAGTGTGCTCCACCCAACCCGTTACCACCTGGGGAGTGTACTCCACCCAACCTGTTACCACCTGGGGAGTGTACTCCACCCAACCTGTTACCACCTGGGGAGTGTACTCCACCCAACCCGTTACCACCTGGGGAGTGTACTCCACCCAACCCGTTACCACCTGGGGAGTGTACTCCACCCAACCCGTTACCACCTGGGGAGTGTACTCCACCTAACCCGTTACCACCTGGGGAGTGTACTCCACCCAACCTGTTACCACCTGGGGAGTGTACTCCACCCAACCCGTTACCACCTAGGGAGTGTACTCCACCCAACCCGTTACCACCTGGGGAGTGTACTCCACCCAACCCGTTACCACCTGGGGAGTGTACTCCACCCAACCTGTTACCACCTGGGGAGTGTACTCCACCCAACCTGTTACCACCTGGGGAGTGTGCTCCACCCAACCCGTTACCACCTGGGGAGTGTACTCCACCCAACCCGTTACCACCTGGGGAGTGTGCTCCACCCAACCCGTTACCACCTGGGGAGTGTACTCCACCCAACCCGTTACCACCTGGGGAGTGTACTCCACCCAACCCGTTACCACCTGGGGAGTGTACTCCACCCAACCCGTTACCACCTGGGGAGTGTACTCCACCCAACCCGTTACCACCTGGGGAGTGTACTCCACCCAACCCGTTACCACCTGGGGAGTGTACTCCACCCAACCCGTTACCACCTGGGGAGTGTACTCCACCCAACCCGTTACCACCTGGGGAGTGTACTCCACCCAACCCGTTACCACCTGGGGAGTGTACTCCACCCAACCCGTTACCACCTGGGGAGTGTACTCCACCCAACCTGTTACCACCTGGGGAGTGTACTCCACCCAACCCGTTACCACCTGGGGAGTGTACTCCACCCAATCTGTTACCACCTGGGGAGTGTGCTGTCTTGGTGTTGGTGATCCTTGCGTCACAAGTGGTAGCCAGGGCCACTATCAGCTCAGCTGGTTACAATAAGGTGGGTCATGTGGTTCTTTGGAGCAGAATCTGCGACCACAAGCTCGATCCCACGATTTTTTCACATTTTAATTTTTCTGATCTTAATCGTCATGTAATAGTGTGTGTGAGTGTACTTACCTAGTTGTATGCATTTAGTTGTGCATGCGGAAGATTAACTTCGACTCTTTGGTCGTGTCTCTCAACCGTCAATAAATTGGGGTTTACGTTCCTGAGCCTATTGGTCTCTATTATATCTACATTTGAAACTGTGTATAGATTAGGCCTCCACCACATCACTTCCTAATGCATTCCATTTGTTAACTACTCTGACATTGAAAAAGTTTTTTCTAATGTCTCTATGGCTTATTTAGGTACTCAATTTTCACCTGTGTCCCTTAAAGCGTGTGCCCCCAGAGTTAAATAAACTGTCTTTATCTACCCCATATCAATTCTTACGATAATTTTGTATGTGGTGATCATGTATCCCCCTTACTCTTCTGTGTTCCAGTGACGTGAAGTATAGTTCCTGTAGTCTCTCCACGTAGCTCAGGCCCTCACCTCGGGTACTAGTCTGCTGGAATACGTCTGAACCTTCTCCAATTTAGTCTTGTTTCGACGAGATACGGACTCCATGCTGGAGCTGCATACACCAGGATTGGACTGACATACGTGGTATACAAGGTACTGAATGATTCCTTACCCAAGTCTCGAAAGGCCGTTCTTATGTTGGCTAACCTGGCATGTGCTGTGGGGAAAACTGACTTGTGGGATTTTATTATTTATTTTCATTACAATTATTATTTAATTAATTTAATTATTTATTATTTATTAATAATTAATTTATTTATGAATTTATTTATTGCGATAGCGGACTATATGATTCTAATTTCCCCACAAATTGCTTCCTACACAAGTTGGGGGTTTATTAATGTAATAATAATAGTCGAAATTAATAGATTGGCTCAAATTTGTTACTAATGGTTAATCTACAATGGTTAGTGTTGAAATTGTGAACAACTTAGCTGTTTTGTAGAATGTGGCCCAGTTAATGAACAACAGAGCCGTCCATGTCGCATAAACTGAATCTTCGGTGGACCAGTTTATAATGATATCGTAGCATGCTTCTCGTTGATCCAGGTAATTTGTTGTAATTTTTCTTCCCTCTTCAATTTCACGTGTCATATATACACATAGTAATAAATCGTCACCAATGTATGACGACTATATCAGGAAAATAATTATTCTATTTAGTTAACTTTGGCTTACCTGTTCTGGGAAGCTGGCCCAGCATCCTAACCCCTTGACATAATATACTAATATGGTCATAGAAGTAAAATTATAACTGTCAAACCGATATGGAACACTTCCCTATTGGCTAGCGAAGGTGTGTTGATGATAGGAGATTTGGCTTCCCAAAACACTTTGACTAAAGACAAATATTTGTGGAGCTTTGCGAGCATGCGAGCAGGCAAGACTTTGTTGTTGTAAATAATGGCGTCTCCTCCCTCCTTGATCAAGTGACCCATCGAGAAATTGGTTCATTCTTTGCCCATTTAAGGACAAACGGATGGAGGAGCTCATTTTATTTATTATTTAGTAATGTCCAGTTATGGGTAACACTTTTGTATTGTTTCTAGTGCCCAGACTGGTGATTTAAGAATTATATAATGTAAGTATTATGAATAAATTTGATCTGGGAACGTGGCAATAACTCCCATTTTTTAAGGGAAGTCACAAACCCGAATTTATTTACAAATTGACTAAGGTAATTATAGTTAGTAGTAATTGGTGTCGTTATTTCTGATATAATTCTGGGGGGGGGGGAGGAATTAATTTTCCTCGGAATAAATAAAACTTATGTAGGAGAAACACTTCTTGGAGTCTACTATTTAGAATTGACGAACACTGATACTCCTCCTCAGTATTATTAGATTAATTTGATGTTGGTGGTTACTGGCACATTTGTGCATGAGGTTTTACAGGCCGGATGTCCTTCTATAAAGTGGCAGGTGTTGGAAGTTGATTAGACGATTTTATTTTCCTGCTAACTCTTGAGATGCCAAATTTCTAACATAATTCAATTTTATTTAACCAAGAGGATTGAAAGTGATCAATTACAACATTCAAATATGATTAAGTGATCAATTACAACATTCAAATATGATTATGGGATTGCAGTGGAAATTTGTTGTAGTAGTCTGCATCTAAAAGGATCCCTATGTCGGTGAGGTGATCACTTAATTTTGTCTGCCAAATTTATTCCAGTTTTTTCTCAGGAATTTAGCAGTGGCTCCTAGACCTTGTACATGTAGGTTCGTTGGAATTGTATCCACAACGATGGGTGGTACTAGACGGACATAGGTACCTAAACAGCTATGGTTGGTTGCACCACTTGGTAGATTTGAGGTCCTGGAGGCTAGGAAACCTCATATATTTAATTTCACTTTTGTTACAGGCCTTAATTGTAGATCATGTGCCACCTTTTGTGTGACAAATGTTCTCTGGGTCCCATGGTTAAACACCCTTTGGGTTAGAACCTTGGTCCCTTAATTGTGATGGTAAGTTGTGCATTTGGCAATGTAACATTATTTCTGGACTGTGTCGATAGGACACTGATTTTTTGTAGCACCTTGCAGTATTATACTGTAGTGGGAATGTTTTCTTCCACCTTGGGGTTTGGAGACTTTATTTTAGTGTCTTCCCACAATGCTGCGTAATGTTGACTTTTGTTACACACCTATTACAGGTACATAATTGGGTCTCAGAGTCGTTGGTGTGATGTTTCCTTAGGTACCTCGTGCAATTCTGCAACTCTCTGAGTCACTTGACAGGCACGTCACGATCAGGATAATTGGTGCATATATTGAATGTTCTTCTTGGCAGAACAAACAAGCTCTCCATCCTACAACACTCTTTGGAGTCACCACCTTGGGTGTTAAGGTAACTGTTGGCTTGGAGTGTCCCACTGCATGTGCGCCCACACTGCCATGCTTCCACTTTGGTGTGGATATTTTTTGTTTAGTGATAGATTAGTTAGATAAAGTTGGAGTACTTGTTGTACTCGTTGTTTTATTATTAGCATCTCGGTATCCACGGACTTCGTTGTTTTAGACTTGTCAGTTGCAGAACTCATTGTTAATATTATTGACTAGAGGGCTCTCATTCGGTTCACCGTCATCCTGAATTCATCAAATATTTCATCAAGGGTGAGGATGTCTGTCGGACAATGAGAACAGATAGCGTACCTTCCCTTTCACTCCTGGCTGCATCTCCAGCTTGTTCACTAGAGTCTTGAGTAGTAGGCCAAATTTTTGTGTCTTTATCATATAGTATACAAAATTTGTCTTACATCTTATTTACTTCCTTGTCTAGCAACAAGTCTGTCCAATTAAATTCAGTAAAGAATTTGCTAAGCTTCCCTTAGTGTCCTCTCTTGAAATCAAGGGTAACTGATTTCTGTACTGTTTCATTGTCCCCAATTTCTTCTAGATTATATCGCCAAGCATATTTAATTTACAAGTGAACATAATCACGCTTTCCCAAGGGAGGGAGATACTGGATGTCAAATATCTCTTCTTCTTTCTTGTGAATATTAAATCCAGTATTGACGGAACATCCCCTTACCTCATTCTTGTGGCCAGCTTGACAGGCTTAAATATCTTTTGAATGAGGTTAACAAATCTACCTTTCCAAATGTCCTCCGTTCTTGCTCCGTTGGCCTCCCAGGCTATTACTTTCAAGAAAAGTTCTCCAGTACCAACAATCGTGATTTGTCTTTATTATTTATTATCTCTCATGACCATTATGAGGCCCTTTCGTTTGTCATCTAGTTCCACCTCTATCCACATGTTGCTTGCTGGTGGGCTGTAGGCATTTACGATTATCAGTTTATCACCCTAATTCTAAACCTGCAATGTCATTATGTCAATTTCTCGACGGTTTTCAATTATTAACTCTCTTACCTACGGGTGTTCTTTTACCAGCACAACCACTCTTTTTCCCTTCCCAGTTTTTCCTGTAACATCTGCAAACTGAGTAGCCCCTTGGGAATACGATCTAATTTAAAATATTTTTTTTCAAGTTTCGTCTGTTAGTGCGACAATATCTGGGACCTTAAGCTGAATTATATCTTTTAGCTCAAGTATTTATTATATCACTCCATCTATGTTATTATATAAAATTTTCAAGAACATGTTCCCTCTCCCCTTAACCTTTACTTCCCCTTCCTCTAAGGATTTTGTTGTTTTGTTTTTAAGCACCATTTCACTTGCCATCCAGTCCCTTTCACTGTGTAGAAAAATATTTACTGTTTTCTTCATTTCTATTTCCATTTAGACGTTTTACCTCATTTAGGTTCAGTTTTAGCTTTTCTCTGTCTTCATTTGAAAGGTCACGTCCTTATGACGAAAGTTTCCATCCTCATCACTATGCCTTGATATTTCTAAGCACTTCCGTCATCTGTTTCTCTCCATTACATGTCACCCTTAAGGGTTGATTCTTAGCTTTCTCATATTTTCCAATCCTTCTAAAATCACTGTCATTTTTCATTTGAATTGAGTGAGGCCTTCTCATAAATCTACTATGTTCTCAATGATTTTCATCACTTCTGCTACTCTGTCCACCGTATATGATATTTCTGTTTCTAAACCCCCAAAACTGTTATGGACTTATTTCTATCTGCAGTGTTCTGTAATAATTTACTGTCCGTAACTAGTTTTTCCTAACTGCTTGTCAAATTTCTGCTCCTTGTTGGTCATTTCTGGTTTTGACTTCTAAAACACCTTTCCTTGATCGTTTCTTTATCTTCTACAACTTGCGTATATGTTTCTTTTATTTCCTCTTTACAATTTTCATAGTTACTTAATAATAACCACTTTTATTTGAGTTGTCAATCAAGTTTCTCTTAGCATATCCTTGCCTAACTCCATGTTAGCCTGTAGGGTTGCTTTGAGTTGTTCATCATATGAGTCTATTTTCTTGTTAATTTCTTCAAATTCATAACTTTTTTCTTTCCATTTCTTGTTTTACCTCACTAGTTCCTTGATTTGTTCCTCCTGTCTCCTTACCTTATCGGTTAAGTTGGTAATTTGTTTTACCTTACTGGAGAATACTTCCTATTAAATTGCGACACTAAATCCTGAGATCTACATTTTCTTGTTCTAATTAAATTATTTTTCTTCATATTTCTTTAGCATATCCTCAAGAATCTCTAACCTGCCAACAAAACTTCCTTTCATTATATCTTGTGCTGAGAATCCTTCGAAACAATCATGTGTTAATTTATTTTCCTCCCACGTGGTGGCGGTCATCTTTGTTAATGACATTCCTTTGTTGTGGAATATAAACTTTTCCAACAGAATTTTCACTCACTTGCACTTCTTTCTTGTATCTTAGTTACTTTAAACATCCTAATACCTTCATGTATCCTGCCACACCACTTACAGCACTACCTGTACTGCCTAAGTACTACCTGTTCCCATTACGTAGGCAATTGGATATTCCTGGAGTCTGCTGCAATGTGACTCCTGCCTCCTGGCGCTTTGCGTGTGTTTGTGTGCACCATTAGTAACACTTCTAAAGATAGGTTTAAAAAATAGAATTTTAGCTCCTGGTCCCAGCCATTGTAACTGCTGTTTATCTTATGAGAGTACCCTATGCTCCCCTTGTTATGGTAACTTTTGAAACTAAACATGGAAATAATCACGATATTCCTAACTTATAATTCAGTACATAAACATTTTAAAAAACGTTTTCCTTTGATCTCTGTCGCTCATCTTCGTGTAGTGTGCTCATCTGTGTTCTCATCTCAACAACCATGTGAATCTCCTCATTTTTTATCTGCTCACTCTTAAGACCCATTGTCGAATCTGTTCCCCAAGAATCTCCTCTCTGACATATTCTACCTTGATGACTTCAAGGCGAAATATTCAGTCCACACACGGACCACACATTCCAAGCAATATTCAGTCCACACACGGACAACACATTCCAATCATTGTCAGGCCCAATTCTCAAAGCATTAATATTAAAATTATTGTTTTCTGATGCTATTTGTTAGTATCAGGGAGGATATTCAGGGAGTGTATTGGCAAGTATGAGCTGCCTGGGCCTATTCGTGTCTTGCATACATGATATTTAGCGTACTGAAAACCGCCTCCTCCAAACTGTTCTGATATTCACCAACACGACAAACATTGTTCATGTAATTTTCTTTTAGGAATTCATCGTAGTAAAATATTTTTAAAGTGAAACCAGCAGAGTTAAACATATTTACTCCGGAATTTAGTTCACTATTTATCATAACCGGTTTCATTAGTTTAGTATCATTGGCAAACAAAAACATTCAAGAGTTTCTTCCATATCAAACGTCATTACTTATATATTAAGAACATCACGACCTCTTCCTTCCATTCATTGTCCTCTCTAAGTGTCAGTATTTCTAAATTCTCTTTTTGTCAGATATTTGGTCACTCGATATAATATTCTTGCAGTATGGTTAGTTTGTGTTCCCAGGTCGTTGTCGTGACAACGTGACTGACTTCTGTGTATGTGAGTGGCTCCTTATGTAGTCACGCGAAAAATCCTATATATATATTGTGTAATGAAATTTACTATCTTCTCTGTTAACATGTATTAGGTTACTTGCTATATATTGTCGCATAAGAAATTTTTATGTGTTTTATTTAAAAAAATATATATTTTCATGTGTTGAAGTCAGAAACAGACTCACCAATGAAAATATATTACAACATTGAATTTATAGTGACTGGAATATTAACCAGATACATTTAATAAAAAATACAGCCAATCAGAAGGAGGGGGATCCCATTTCAAAGAACCAATAAGAGCCCATCGGGTATGCGTCAGCCTATAAAAGTTCGTTTTATTTGCCGCAAAAATTATATAATAATAATAAAATCAAAAGGAAGATGTGACGTTTCCTCTTGTATATCAACCATTAGTTTATTGGATACGATTGCAAGAGAAAGGTGTGCCCAGACGAGGCCCAGGATGGTCTCTTTGAGCAGCTGCAAGTTTCACACACGGCTGGACTCACACAAGAGCGAGTCGCCAGGGTGCAGCCGGAGATCAAAAGAGAGGTAGAATGCTCTTCAGGTATTCTGATTCAGGAGAGAAGAGAGAACTGCGTCTGGAGACATGTGAACTCCTCTCTTTGAGTGCAGAACTTAAGTAGTAATGACTCTGCAACTGGTCTTGGGAGTGATTATGATTGAGTGATGGGTTATGGTTACTGATAGCAGGAAATACCCTACTAACAATGTGATCTCTGATTTCCCCATTTACAAGTAATGGGTACTATAATGGACTTCAAGTATCACACAAAACATCATCCAAGGGGGAAGTGGAATAGGTATAGCGAGCTAGAAGAGGAAATTAATTAAGCTGATTTATATACTTAGTATATAATATATTTTATATTAAGATGATTTAGAAGACAGGGGCGCTTCTGAGTTTTTCATGAGCTGCCATAGACGGCAGCAGCGCCCTCTTGCGAGGTGCACATGAGCTGCCATAGACGGTAGCTGGAACCCTTCCTGGGTAGACAGAGTTCTGTCTACTGTTTATATAGAACGATGCTCTGGTAAGATCACCACTACAGCCTCACCAAGCACCCGGTGTATAGTGATGCTCTGGTAAGATCACCACTACAGCCTCACCAAGCACCCGGTGTATAGTGAGGCTCTGGTAAGATCATCACTACAGCCTCACCAAGCATCAGGTGTATAGTGATGCTCTGGTAAGATCACCACTACAGCCTCACCAAGCATCAGGTGTATAGTGATGCTCTGGTAAGATCACCACTACCGCCTCACCAAGCATCAGGTGTATAGTGATGCTCTGGTAAGATCATCACTACAGCCTCACCAAGCACCAGGTGAATAGTGATGCTCTGGTAAGATCATCACTACAGCCTCACC